GGCCTCGCCTCGCGGCGCCGCCGGCTTCTGCTGGCCGCAGTGCTGGCGGGGCGGGGCCCACTGCAGACTCGCCCCGTGTATTTGCATAAATTAATTTCGTGACGTTTCTCCGTACTGAGTGCAGAAAGGTATCTGCCGCACCCACTCACTACCATCGCCTCAGGTCGCTTCTAGAAAAAGTGGGATAAGAAGTTATCGCTCTCACAGGTGATTGTGAAGGAGGCCTGGTGGCGCCTTGGGTTAGCTAACCTCAAAATTGGCGGGAGAGAGATGAGGCTGTCTGCTCCTGGGAAAGACTCAAATCTCTGTGGATAGAGAGGCCTGGCAAAAAGGAAGATGATGCTCAACAAATGGCTGACATAGTGGCTGCAACCGTGGACTCAAGCATAACGATTGTGAGGGTGGAACAGGACCAAGCAGTGTTTTGTCCTTTGGGACATGAGGTTGCCAGGAGTCTGGACCACCTTGATGACGCCAAACAACAGCCACATGAATCTGATTGGACTCTGGGTTAATAGGTGGTTGTGAGGACCCTGAGCCAAGGCAAGAACCAGTTGCATAGGCAAGTGGTTAATAGATGTTTTGTTATGTTAGCTACCCTGGAGTCATGTCTGAATTCTGGAGAAGCTGAGTTCGCAGAGTAGAACTGCACACCATAGGATTTTTCAAGACTTGCTTTTTGAAAGCAGATCACCAATGATTATCAGGTGGCAGAAGAGTCTGAATATATAGTAGAACCAGCCAGGCTATTTACATAAAGGGGAGAGAGAATTATGCAATAGTGAGCCATGGTTGCTCTGCTTGGAGGGAAGTATAAGAACTGGATCGTCAAAACAAAGAATAATATGAATGAATAGTTCCATACATGCCCATTTAAATCCATATACCCCCCAAAGAATTTCCCTTTTTCCTTTCTTCCCAAACACCCCTGCCTTGAGTCATATACACATTTCCTGTTTGTCCAGCTAGTAGTAGATGTGCCCTCTTGTTACTTACCCTTTCAGCTTCCATGGTGTTTTTTCCTGCACACAGCATGGTGCTCTGTACGCAAGGACCTGGCCATGCCACCATGGCTCAAGGCCTGCTCACTTAGATGAGAACGTAGAGTGTGTCACTGGACTCTAGAACCCGCTTCATATTTCTCAGCTCTGGGGTTTCACCACGGCAGATACAACTGTGTTGAAAAGCTGAGGGTCCCACGAAACAGTATGCTCAAGCCCAGGGCTAGATGTGTTTCTTGGAAGCAGTCACATTGGTGGTGAGTTTGTCCATTAGGCTAATCTTGAAATTAGTTGAGATTTTTAGAGCGTCACCAGCCATGTGTGATAAAGAACTATGGTGTTCTGACTTTGAAATCCCACTTTTGGAAACAAATCATCTGGTGCCCAAACCCTGTTTTATCGATATGGTCAAGTACTCCACTGCCAGTATAAACACTCTGGCAATCCTGCTCACAGACTTCTCCAAGCCCAATTTGAACCATTTGTTCCAAACAAACAGACTTTTAAAATAAAACACAGTGTGTGCACAGGAACTCATGTTAGAACACATGAGGATGTGGGCAGGATCCAGAAGGAGTATGTAGGGAGTTTGTGTTTTAAGAGTCTTGGGACTTTTCTCCAAAACAGATGTTTCATTTATAATTGGCTTAAAAGTCAAAAGCCAAAAGGTATATGATGATACTTCATTCCATCTCTCCTTTCCCCAGCTCTTGTTCCAGTTTGTTCCTCCAAATTAAAATTTAATAAATCTCATCCCAGCTGCAGAATTTCCTTCTCAGGTTGGTGCTCAAGATCCCTAGGCCACCTCCTAGTCACTGGACATTCTGAGATCCCTGGCCTCATGCAGCATTTAGTTTCCCTCAGCTGCTCTGGCAGTCTCCAAAGTCTGAGCCTGTGTGCACACTGCACTCTCATCTGGAAGTACCTGCTCACCCTCAGGGTTTACCTGGGTCAGCCTAGAAGCACCCCTTCCTCAGTGTTACCTTGGTACTTTCTGCTTTCTGCTACTGCAGGAGTGAAATGGTGCGCATATGTCTCCCCTAGTTAAACTCTGTTCTTGGCATGCTGCCACTCTTAAACCCCATCAGAGTCAGCCAGCTATGGAATCAGGGTCGTACTGAGGCTGCTGGTCAGCCCACACTGAAGTCCTTGCTCCTTAATTCATTCACTATGTGACCTTGAGCCAGAAAGTGTCTTAAGCTTTCTGAGTGAGAGTCCCTTATCTGCAGAATAAGGAACCCAAGCCCACCCTACAAAGCTGTGCTGAGAATAGAGGTGCTTTGGGAAGTGAAAGGGGTGGCATATGCCCACTAAGCCCCTGATGACCACTCAGGAGGTGAGAGCTGTGGCAGTGTGTTTAAAACGTTCCTCAGACCTGTCGTGTCTCCGCTTCTCATGCAGGCCTACCATATTGGAAACTACAAACACTCCATCCACCTCCAAAGTTATTTTTCTCCATAGCATTCACTGTCATTTAATGGACATGCTGCCTGCTTGCCTGCTCCCGTGGTAATCTCTTCTAAGCTCCTTTATCCCTCGGCATCTTAAATCGCTTATTACAGACCACCAGGTACTCCTTAGATCAGTGGTCCTCAACCTTCCTAATGCTGTAACCCTTTAATACGGTTCCTCGTGTGGTGACCCCCCCCCAACCATAAAATTATTTTTGTTGCTACTTCATAACTGTAATTTTGCTACTGTTATGAATCGGGCGACCCCTGTGAAAGGGTCGTTCAACCCCCAAAGGGGTCGTGACCCACAGGTTGAGAACCACTGCCCTAGATGTTTGGAATGAGTGAGCTATATTTTATCTGGGCTAAGTTTCATGGGGCCTGAAGTTTATATAATTGGGGGTGGGGAGTCTGTTTAAGAAAAGGAATTCAAAATTATGAATAAGAATAAATTTGGAAAGTGATATTTATTTAGAATTACAAATTCTAAATACAAAAGCAGACACATGATTAAGAACTCACTGCTATTGAGTCAATGAAGACACAGACTCTAACTGTTTCTGGGAGGACAAAGCCCAGTTTTTCTCAAGGGTTGCTGGTGGTTTCAAACTGCCACCCATGCAGATTGCAGCCCCCAGTGAGTAACCACTACCCCACCAGGAGGACTCCAGGACCAATGATTAAAAACTGTCACTACATACAGAAAAAAACATTTTCATTATCAATTATCTGACACACTCTCAGCTAGGTTTTCCCCGATACTGTTTTTGACTGTATACTCTTTACTTGCCTCTTCATATGACAGTAAGAATGTAAAGAATTCGTTGTTTGTTCCATTAGGCATGTTGTTTGTTACTGATCATTGGTTTGGACAAAACACACGATTTCACATGTAGACCTGGTCTCCTTTCTAGTATAGTTACAGATTTGAACCCTAGAAATGCAAGAATTTTGATAAATTCTGTTTTGCATAGCTATATTTTAA